CCTCGACACGTGATATCGAAATGGGTGAAATCGCCTCTTGATATCACTGTCTTGAATCTTGAATGTTGTACTCGCTTCATCTTTACAATGGTTACTTGATGCAATAACACCGTCCAAAAATATCTTGTATTGTTATATATTTTGTTTCTTCTTTACTTACAATCTTACTTATTGCTCCATTTATGCAAACCTACTAATTGTAAGACTAATATATTCTATGAGGACCTCTAGTTTGGGACTGACTTGAAATAGCCATAGAAGGCAGCAACGGGGAGGGTGGTGGCAAGGCCAAAGTAGATCCAGTGGCCTCCTGTAACCCAAGCCAAGAACACCTGGACACACACCCCGAAGACATAGACAATGTTCATCCCGACGTTCACCACCATCCGATGTTCGGGGCCTGTCTGTTCCAGACCTGCCCATCAGCGAAATTCTGCTTTTTTTTAAACACCTCATTGCAGCTTCCCAATTCTCTGAGTGCTGAAAAATGTCATTTTTACTCTTGCATCATGATCAATACCAAAGAGCCTTCTACAATGACTTGGAGTCATTGATTAAATCCTTTTGGCCAAGCCTGTCCAATTCCAACACTTGAAGTGCTAAGGTCAACATTCGCAATGCTCCTACATTCATTCTGCAGGTTGCATCTGTTGATATGGAATGTAATATGGACAATATTCAGTGGTAGAGAATTAGTAGTAGTTGCTCACATTCATTTCTGTATTCAGAGACAATCAACTGTTCCTCTTCAACGTAGAAACTGTTCATGAGAGTGAAGGGCAGACCTGTGCTTGTAGTGTACATTTGCTATCTCTCAACTTTCAGCTACAATTTACATGACTTTTGCTGCTTTAAAAAAAATTCATAATTAAATTGAATGTTGACGTCTTCGTTCCCTACTTGGAAAATTTAATGTAACGAAACAATTTTGGCTGAGCATTTCAAAAAAGTTTGAAATAACTATTTTATCTCCCTATTGGAGGTCTGCGTTTTTCCACCCTAATTAGGAAATAATACACCATTGAACATGAATGCCCCCTCGTGAGGAAATGTCGAAGAAGGTTTCGAGAAACAGGAAGGACAAGAAACCTCCAAGAAGAAGTAATGATGGTGATCCTGTGCTTTTCGATGCTGAAGTCATGACAGCATTTTTTATTAAGGAAAGAAAAATTAATCATAAGAGCCTCTCTGCAGATGGGAATTTCCATCACTAAAAAATTTTTAAAACAAATTTTTTCCTGCATTTTCATGCAGTGTCTGAGTTTTTGAAAAAGTGTAAATTTTGTCTACGTTTTCTATTAAAAAGTAAATTTCCTTAACTGTAGGTTTTCCCGACGAATTTCGGCAAAAATCCTTTCAAATTCTGCAACGGCTGTTTCGATTTCGGCAGCGCTCCTGTCTCCTCCCCGTTTTCCCATTCAATTTCGGCAGGTGACTTTCGATTTCATCAGTGCAAGGGAATATCTTATTTCTGGTAATTAACATGGGCATGAGGAATAGGGAAGGAAAGGGCACAAACCCATAGGGTATTTTCAGTGAATAATCATTATTTATTATGCAAAGGAAAATTTATGCACATTGATACTGATTCTACCCTTCGATACAGTCTCTTCTTTTGTCATCTAATCAAGTATGTTTGTGCATGGCGAAACCACGCAAAGCACTTCTGATGGGTTTTTTGCCAAGCTGATGCCTCTCCTATTTCGAGCAGCTTCTCTGTCCAACTTTGCTGCAAGTTTTGTTCTGACCTTCGTCGTGCAAGTTCTACCTGCGTTTCAGGAAGGTACACTTACGTTTGACAGCAGCCTTGAATGCAGAGAGGGCATGTTCTGTCGGATTCAAGAAAGGAGAATATGCCGGCAGAAACTTCACGCGAACGTTAGGAAAGTCATCTGGGACCGAGGCTCGTTTGTGGAGTCTAGCATGATCTATGATGACATAAACTGGTTGATCTGGTGGCGAAATCATATGTACTTGTCTCAGGAGCTTCTCAAAGAATTCCTGAAACGTTGGCGATGAGACGCGTTCCTGTTGTTCCTTTGCTGAATAAGATTATTCCAAGCATAGAAACGAACATGAACACGTCCTATGTGGAGGACTCGCAGCAAGGAGCACCCGATTTCAAATATTCATTTCCAGTTTGTCATCTTAGATAATCCCAGACCCCATAAACGAGCCTCGGTCCCTGATGACTTTCCTAACGTTGACGAAGTTTTTGCCGGCATGTTCTCCTTTCTTGAATCCGACAGAACATGTCCAAATAACCCATCAGAAGTGCTTTGCGTGGTTTCGCCATGCACAAACATACTTGATCAGATGCCTAAGGAGAGACGTATCGATGGGTAGAATCAATGTCAACGTTCATGAGTTTTCCTTTGCATAATAGAATGATTATTTGTCAAAAATACTCCTTGCGTTTGTGCCCTTTCCTTCCTATCCATTTCCTCATACCCATATTAATTACCAAAAAGAAGAGATTCCCTTGCGCTGCCGAATTCGAAAGAACTTTTGGCGAAATTAGTTGGGAAAACCTATATTACTAATACCAAGCAAATGCAGTGTCAAATTTGAATATAAAAAAATGTGATAAAAGCATATTTTATCTCAGTTCGAACGAGTATCAAAGTTTATGAAACGCTCTGGAAGTCATCGATGGTAAAAAAAAAAATGAATAAATTAGTCAAACTCACGTTGAAAAAAAAAGTGACATTCCGCTTTCCGAGCAAAACCTCAATTTTTTAATTCTTGTGAAGAATGGGCAACAATCCACCATATTAAGCCCTCTTTACAGCTTCGGCATTGAATTTTTTGGAGTGACTTACACATGATGTAGGCAATTTGGAAACAGGAAGGGAAGGCGATGCTCTTGAGGAAGAGGAGCGCCGAGAAGATGCCATAGTCTTTTGCATAGAGGAGACCCGTGCCGAAGATGAGGTGCAAGGCCGCGGATCCGTAGAATATGGGACGTCGACCGAACCTGTTTGGTTGGAAAGAGGGGTGCATGACAATTTACACGAATCACGTTTTCATGCCATAGTATAAAAAGTAATATTAAAAAAAACAAACTCGATTCTTGCAATATACACAGCAAAACAGAAACGTACAGTGAGGTACATATTTTGTACGTTATGAGGTACAAATGTATGTCATAAAATACGTTCGTCGAAAAGGTACGGAAGCAAAATAAGGTACACATGTGTACCTTTCTTATATCTATTCGTTTCGGGCTTAGGGGCGTTTAAAAACCTGCTTATGAACCTCAATTATCAGCTTTGAAGAGAGCTTTAATGGCACCATGTCTCTGACAGGCAGCGAGCTGTCACTGGTAACACGCGGACAGCGTCTCCATTTCGCTTAGGACGTGCCGGCTGTCTTATGAACAGTGTCTTCTCCAGTTATCATGGGGACAGAAGGTAACAAGACCACCCTGTTTTACTGGGACAATCTTTCAAGTTTATTTAAAATTGGCTGCTCATTCTTCAGAGAGAAAAAAAAACTCATAACCTGTTGGTTCACACTTCTCTGTTCCCGTACAAAACCCCAGCATTTAAAAATTTCCAGAATCATTGATTGCCATTGAAACATGATAGCTATTCTTTTAGCAAATACTGCTTTACAAGTATCATAAGATGAAAACAGGGAAAGGAAGAAAACTCTTCTCCAAAGGTCCGGTGCGTCCCGACTCGACTTCGAAAGTTTGGGGGAACATAAACGCCATCTTATGCCGATTTTGAGTATTGCATTGAGAACCCGGACATCTGCATCTGCAACATACACATGTGTACGTCTGGACTACACAATAGGACCCGAGGGACACAATATGTACCTCTCCTTGTACATTTCTACTTTGCTGTGTATGTGAGAACCTTTCTCTACGCTTGTCCTTGATGGTTTTAGAGTTTCTTCAAGACTATTAAACAATCTTGGGTATTCCGTAGCACATTAAAGGCTGAAATACCCACCAACAAATAAGATGCACATTCATCAGTACCCAACTCGTGATTCCCAGCGCATTATTGAAACTGGTCTTTGAACGCGCCACTCCACCCCAAGGTTGAAACGAGAGAATACTTCAGTCGAAAGCGCCAGGCGCCGCATCGGACTCACCAGTCGGCCAGGTTGTTCAGGACGAGAGAGCCGAGCATGGTCGCCGTGGCCACCAGGGTGAAGGCCAGGGTGATCCTCCACTCCTCATCGCACACCCAGTGGAACGCGGACGCCACCGTCTCAGCGTAGAGGCTCCGGTCGTACGACCACCCGTTCCTGCAGGCTTCCCGTTCGTTCCAAAAAATTTCATCTTTAATTAACTGCCATTCCCATAGATACCATGGGGAAATGGCATATATTACGTTTGGTCAGTAATTTTTTTTTCGTTCCGTCTGTCCGCAGTAACCATAGCGACCGAACAACACGACTCACTGCGCACGTACAGCTAGCTTTTCGCCTGGGTAGGGGTGCCCGTCTTCCACGAAAACATCCACTTCCCTTCCAGTCCTCGTGGATGATGGATCCATAGTAGGCAACGGGAGAGAGCGACTGCTCGCGGCCGCGTAGACAGGGTTGCTTAGCGTACGCATGAAATGTCGTATATGGCATCCTACACATAACGCTCTCCTCCCATCTCCACTCGACGCTGACGCGTGAACCATCGAGAACATGTCTAATTGTCCGGGCCTTTTCATATATGCCAATGACAGCTATTATTTATTTCAAGGTTGCATGGTAGTTTCAATTTTTGTCATGCAAGAACCATGATCTGCTGGATGTTTGCATCGCATCTCGAGTTAGACAAACTCTACCAATCTACAATCGGACGTTCAATAAGTTCATATTATTATTTCGTGGGTTTATCTTCATGTACTTACAATATACCTTATATGTTTCATGCTTTCTTGGTGGTAATTTATTTACAAAATATTTAATGTTGATTTCTTTGTTTCACCCACAAAATGGGAATGATTCAGTTTAGGAAAGAAAAAGAAGCTGTGATCTGCCTTACGTCTTTACAGCGAACATTCTCGATGAATCTGTATATGCTTTTTTATCTGTCAATATTGATATTGACAAACTTGTGCTGTCAAATATTTTCCAGTTATGGGTTCCAGCGATTCAGTATGATGCTCTAAAATAAAAATTTGCTCCTGCTTTCCCGAAGTGGATCTACCTAGGTACAGATACACTTTGGGTACTTTATGTGTACCGGGTGTTGCACATAGATAGCCCCCCCCCCCCCCCCTCCACAGCCTAAACTATGAGCTAGGAAAAAAACTCACATATCACGAGGAAGAGCATTCATTTTAGAATTTAAACATATACTTCTTATAATTGTTGTGCGCCCTGGCTGTATCTCAGAGCTTTAATACGAGCGGGGTAAGATGAAAAGAGGCGCTTAAAGATTTCCGTGTCATCTTCCACGTCCTTCAACACTGGTGATGTAGCTTTGCAAGGCTTCCCGGGAGAATCCATGCTGCTTGCCCTCCATGCGCATGAGCCTCAACTGGGTCTTTCAGAATAACCCCAATCTCTCAGCCACATTCAGTTCAGGAGAATTTCCTAGCCATTTCGCATTTCCAAAAATAATCAATCTGAGTCTTTCAGTTATTGCCGTGTGATCAAAGCTTCGAAAAATAGGGCTTCATGAGGCAGAAGCTGAACTTTTAATCTACGAGGGTGATTCAATTGAAAATAATAATTTCGTTATAACACCCGTATAATGCAGATGTCGTAGATGTCTTTTTAGTGGCGGTGAGATACGGTCCCTTGTAACGCATGCACACAGGTAGAGGAACCGCAACACGCGCATGCGCGTCACGTGACGTTTCCAAAATGGCGGTACGTGTCGAGTCATGCACCAAGTTGGAGATGCGAGGTATGAGGTATGATTTTTGGCGGTGGAAGATTTAAAACCAGCGGAAATTCACCGCAGAATGCAAGTGGTTTATGGTAAGATGTGCTTGTCCCAAGCTCGAGTCTACAAGTGAGTGCAGAAGTTCAAAGACAACCAACAGGATCTCGACGAATCTCCCTGGCCAAGCCAGGCACATTGTGTCATCACTCTTGCCAGCATTGCAGAAGCAGCTTCTGTCCTGTCTTCTGAAATCCTGTTGGCCGTCTTTGAACTTCTGCATCCATTTGTAGACTCGACAAGCACATCTCGCCATAAATCATTTGCATTCTGCAGTGAATTTCTTGAACTTGGTGCATGACTCGACACGTACCGCCATTTGAAAACGTAACGTGACGAGCATGCGCGTGTTGCGGTTCCTCTCCCTGTGTGCATGCGTTACAAGGGATCGTATCTCACAGCCATCGAAAAGACATCCGCGACATCTGCATTAAACGGGTGTTATAATGAAATTATTGTTTTCAATTGAATCACCCCCGTATTTCGAAACCCAGGAATGGGTAACGAATTCAGCTCCGGCATCATGAGCTCGAAACGTAATAGCATGGATGCGATCAATGAATTTAAGTTCTTCATCAGATGACATCAGAAAAAAAAACAAAATGGGATAGAATAGATTCAAAATTGAACACCCACACAGCACATGTATATCCCAAAGATATCCCAGAGATATCCCCATTGGGACAAGTGCGATGTCCCAGAGACAAGGAGTAGGGACATCTTAGAATCAAAATGTCTGGGCGTAAAGACATCCCAAGGATGTCTCATTCTTGCAGCACAAGTACTGTATATCTGAAAGATGTCCCAGAGATATCGCCTAGGGACAAGTGAGAAGTCCCAGTTAGTACTTGCAGGTGCCTTCTTATCAGCAATGGACTCATTTCCTACCGCACAGGAGAACCCATTACTTTCGAAGATATCTCTATTTGATCTAGGAATACCTAATCTTAAGTTCTTGACCGATTGAAGAATGACGATTATGGGGGAGGAAAATCCCGTTCCTAAAGGGGGCCTCAGGACCTAAAGGGGGACGAAACTTAACACCTTTACACGAGGGGTTATGGACGAGATGATTTAGCCTCACGCCTTAAAAAAGCATGGGCTCAGGCCTCCAACCAAGAAAGTTGTATCCAGACATGCCGATCAGACATCATTAAATATAATATAGCGGAATAAATTAAAATTCGGACAGCAATGTTTTCACTTTCCCTGCTGGCAGTTTTCCTGATATACGGTACGAAAATCTTTACTTATCCTCAGGACAAATCAAGTAGATGAATTCGATAGAAAAGATCTGAGGTTGCTGATCAGGGCTCACAGGAGACATCTACCGTCGAAGCTATGCACCTGACTGAAGGCGACAAAGAGTCTGAAGATGCCTTAAGACATCCCTTAGATGTCCCTAAGACATCCTCCTCAGGATGTCGAAAAGCGTTCGACTGAAGATGTCTTCGAGATATCCCCTCCAGGATATCCAGAAGCATTCGACTAAGGATGTCTTCAAGATATCCCGAAAGGGATATCTCTCTGAAGATGTCAAAAAGACGTCTCTTAGATATCCCGAAGACATCCCTTACGATATGTCCGAAAGAAGATATCTTCAGGATATCCTATGAAGACCAGGGGACAAGTCGTCCAGTTAAGGACATCCCTGGGATATCACTGTGCTGTGTGGGCAAGGATTCCAGATTATTTTTAATGTTTTCCTAGCTCCTATAGTTTAGGCTATGGAGGGGGGGCTATCTATGTGCAACACCCGGTATATGTGCGGAGGCTACGTGTACTTAGAAGTGTGATAAGTATGAAAACTCTTTGAATCCACTTTGTTTCTTAGTATTTGTGTTACATTATTCCCTCATAAATGTATTTTCATTAATTATTTGTGTTTCTGTCCTTAAATGCACCAGCATCTTGCATTCACTCTTGTGATCCACACGATGATCCTTGGATGACCTAGTTATATGAACCTAGCTCAAATTTTCTACTTTATCCCCATGGCAATTTCGACGGTGGTGATGGCTCTTGCCTAATGAGGATAACCAGTGGCATATTTTACGGGGGTAGCCCCTTCCTCCTCCCCCCACCCCCCCCTCCAGAAGTTAACGAGCCCATGAATTTGATCCCTGAAGGTCCACCGATGCCAACCCTGCTTTTTAGCCCTAAGCGAGGTGGCACTCGCGTCGCAGCGGCCACGGCCCAGTGTCGTACAGTTCATTCTCACTTCCCTGCTGACAATCTTCGAACGAAACCCTAACTTGCCCATACTCGAACTTGGAGCTGCGTCTGCTCAAATGTTCGTTCCCGAACCTCCCGCAGCGCTGAAGAATTTCAGAACTCCAAAACAAACCAAACCAAAACCAATTCGACAAATTGCAAGACCTTCGACCAAACCACGCCAGACGTCAAGTTTCTTTAAAATGGACGGACGTTGAGAAGAGGTTCATTCAAGCGACGCTAGATGTCTCTCCTGGCCAAAGGAGGAAAAAGGATGGAAGATGTTCACGAGGGACATCTAGTGCGAGGTAAATGAACTTTCTCGATTCCACTCGTTTTCCATTCTTCCTGCGCGTCTATTCCTTCTGAATACTGAAATAATGCATGGGATGATACGCGATCTGACTTCTGGCAAATGTGCTTAAGGATGGGTTGAACTCCCAAGAAGCATGTTTACGTAAATATGATATCAATTTTTTTGCAAACAATGTATATTTCTTGCGATAGCCATGAAAATGACATCACGTTTACGTAAAATTTACGTTCCTACCCAAATAGCATGTGTATGTTAAATTTACGTAAAATGAATGTAAAAATTTTTGTCCATTTTATCATTTTTACGCAAACCATTGTCAAGAAAATGTCAACATGTTTGCAGAAATGTCACCTCTGTGATACGTAAACGGTGATATAAAATTAACGTAAAATTGACATTCCCGTTTGCATTCAAAACAGTATGTTTACATTCATTTTACGTAAGATATATGTTAATTTTCCCCTGGCATTCATACGTATTTAAAGAGTCAATCAGTACCATTGAAGAGAATTGATATACTGAATCTCCTATTCCTTTATGTTCTTCAGAACTCCAGAGTGGTTGGACGAGTACACGAGTACTCATCCTCACCAGCACTCAAGAGTACCAAAGTGACCTACTGCTTCCTCCTCCCGTACTAGAACCTCGGGAGAAGAAGTAGATGTTTAGAGTAGCAGTCTTCCATTTAGGACGGAGAAAATGTAGTACTTGTGGGGGTGTGACTATACTCTTCCCTAATCCGGTACGCTGCTGTAATAAAAAGCTTAACTTCAGCATTTAATGATTCCCTGAGTCATATATTATTTTAAAATATATATAATAATTTCATGTTTTTCATATATATATTCATGGATTGCATAATAAAAAGTAGAAGGATGGTAAGAAAACCTGATACTATATCAGGAAAACCAGTACTTAATAGTAATTGTAGGATGCAGGGAACAAGGGTTCCATCTAGTGAGGAATCTTGGTACTGCAACTGCAGGATGGTCAGCTAAAGTTTCATATGGATGGTGTGGTGTTAGTTTTTCATAAACTAGATATCATGTACTTCACGTCAGATGGAGTGACGTNAACACATCCCGAATGATGACGAGGAATGCTAAAAGAGCTATTGATGCAATAAATTGATGCAATGTGACAATAAAGACAGCCGTATTCACTTAACGACTCTGACGTTAATACTTTTCATGCCATCCAAACCCACCGATACTGAGTGGACCATCATTGGATCCAACCCGGTCGATAACTGGAGTAAACCGGTCCATCACTAAGGCTTTTCGGGACATTTTGTAAAAAAAACCTTTTGCTAAAAAAGCAATGAATGTTTGAAGAAGCTGCTCTTACCTGTGTTACTACATTTAAATTACACATCACCTCATCCACTTAATACCATCCTCATCTAAAAAATACAACTCAGAGAGAGCTTCAAAGAGCAAATACGTCCTTAAGTGGCCCATCACTGGGTCTTTTACCCTACTCCTCTAAATATCGATTTCTCCTTCCGAGGGCCTGGTTCGGGTGGAGGAACTAGTGAGTTATCTTTGTACTCTTGAGTGCTGGTGAGAATGAGTACTAGTGTGTACTCGTCCAAGTAACCTTGAGATCCAAAGTATGGAAAGGAACGGGAGAAATACAGTGTATCAATCTTCTTCAAAAGTACGAATTAGCTCGTTAAATACGCATGAATGTTAGGAGGAAATCAACATCAATTTTACGTAAAATGAATGTAAACATGCTGTTGGGGATGTAAACGGGAATGTCAATTTTACGTAAAATTTACGTAAATTTTATATCACCGTTTACGTATTCCAGAGGTGACATTTCTGCAAACATGTTGACATTATCTTGATGATGGTTTGCGTAAAATATATATAAAATGGACAAAAAATTTACATTCAATTTACGTAAAATTAACATAAATATGCTGCTTGGGTCATAATTAAACTGATTTGTGACATGCACCAAATGCACTCAATTTATCTCTCTCCTAAACTTCAGAGATTGGGTGACATGCACCTGATTCGTTTAACTTCAAACTGATTCGTTTTCATAATGGACGTCTATGGGAATAAGTTTATCTGTTAAACTGATCCCCATAGGCAGGGCCGGATTTAGGTTATGAGGGGCATAAGGCTAATGGGAGGGAAGGGCCTAAGTATGAATTACATACTGCAACAACAAAAAAATGGAATGGATGGCCTAAAGTAGGGCCTAAAAATATGAGGGCCTAAGGTTATAGCCTTATTAGCCTATGGATTAATCCGGCCCTGCCCATAGGGCATTATTATGAGATCAGATTAGTTTAGCTTAAACGGATCCGGTGCATGTCACCCATAAACTTGTTCCACGTCACGTTTATCTCCCTAAACGGATTCTGAGAGGTAGTTCAGCATTCTTTGCCTCTCATCATCAAGCGAATGGAAACTAATGAAGTTTGTTTTACAGCCAACAAGATGGACTATCAGAGATCGGCTCGATTCCAATTGAAATGTAAAGTGAAGATGAAACAAGGTTTCGCCTTTCCAAGGACACAGTCTCCGACACGCTGCGGACAATGGGGTCGTAGCCTCATATGATACCGCTCACAATGACGAATTGCCCTCGATTTGCATCTACGTATACACAGAAAGTGAGGATTTTCTTTCCAAATGAAGCCATACCGCCTTTAAACGCATTTAAATCATGAATAAACGTGAAGGTGGAAATTAATCTGATTTTCGTTGACGATAATAATGATATCATTCTTAAATGATAATAATAATCCAATGAGTTCATGCCACAATACA